CCAAGGAAAGCGGCATAATCCAAATTTACTCAGCAACGCGGTCTCGCACGGTCGGTGGGCAACGCGGGGTGCCTCAATTGCCGAGAGGGAGTCCGTTTCCTCCAGCATTCGTGTGGGCGATTGGGATGTTCCCGGACGAGGAGGTATGAGATGTCTAAAAACATTTTCGATCGCAAGACAGTCTGCCCTATATGAGCATGCGAGGCTGCCAGCTGGTGCACGATGTACCTCCACAGGGAGATCATTTGTCGTGGTGGAGCCATATAATAGCGCAGCGGATCCAGATGCGAGTCCAGCGAGAGATGAAGAACCGTCCGTCCACAATTCAAAATCACAATCCCCCAAAGAGGAGTGAGTAGAATAAAAAGCCGTGCGCCCGACATCGTCAGAGGCGTCTTTGGCAAACAGTGGCTGATAAAATCTCACGTTGTTGCAGATCACAGCATCCAGGGAAAAAATTCGATGTTGGGCAAGAGGCGCGCGAATGTGGTTGTGGGGTGTCCCAATAATGCCACAGACGCGTAGCAATCCATTAATAGCAACATCTCTCGGAAGCGGATTGATGTCGCCGCTTTCCCATGCATGGGCGAAGGCGTAGGTTGCGAGTAGATAAGGGAACGCAAATCCTCGTGATCATGGAGGCGTATATAGCGTTCGTATTGTGTGAGTGCGCGACGCCAGAGTACCTTACGGAGCGGAAGAATATTGGCTTCCAAATGGACGGATGTGTCTTCCGTAGAGGCGCTCAGGCCAAGAATGTTTTGCTGCCGTCGCGGTACCGTACTTCCATATTGTGGAGGTGAGTGGGGACGAGTCACGGGACAATTGCCTCGCCATTATGAAATAGCACACTATGAACGTATCCAATCAAAAAGGATCGCATGGTGTGATGGGACGCGTCCGCCTCTACGACCAGACGCAGCTGATGGCGGCGTGGCATGGTCCTCTTTGCAGCGGTGGAAGCATGCGTAACAAAATTAAGAAGTCGATCGAACGTGTTGCCCAGCAAGCGCACTGGGCGTGACTGAATACGCAGGTTCCCGCTAACAAGATGGAGATCGACCATGTCCTCGTCAGACCGTGTGTGTGTGAAGAGATGTGGAATAGAGCAGCTTCGCTCTTAGCGACGTTGATTTTGAGGTTGTGCTCGACAGCCCATGTCGATAGAAGGGACAAGAGCGGTCGCATTGCCGCAGCACGGGCATGGATGTCCGCACCTGAGGCAACAAGTGTGAGGGCGTCAGCGTACATGAATGCGGAGGCAGAATAGATGCTGCCCAGGCGGCGCAGCAGATCACCCACATAGTGGAGGAAGAGTTGGGGTCCCGGGACGCTGCCTTGCGGTACTCCGTCTGAGGTGAGTTGTTTCCGGGAGTGCTGTTCACGAGTGCATACCCTAACATAGCGGCCCCGCAGGTAGTTGTGCTGCCAGCGTTTGTTTCGTGGGCCAAGGCGCGGAAGTCTGTCAAGCATGCCGAATAACTTCCCATGGTCAGTGGTGTCGAGCGCAGTCGGAAAATCAATCAAAACCACAAGCGATGGCGACGAGGGCGTCGTGTGGGGGCGTCGTCTCCAGGGCGCTCATACTCCACAGTGCTGAACTCATTCAGTCCACGAGTAATTTGTCGATAACAGGTGCCACCACGTCCGACGTAGAACGCGGAGGTGCAAATCCGAAATTGACGTGGGTGGTGCGGCAATAACGCCGACAGATGGCGGTGAGTCATTCTTTCGGTTAACTTGAATAAAACAGAGAGTGATTTGATAGGTCTGTAACTCTCTGGGCGGAATGGCCCTTCCCAAGGTTTGGAATGGGAATGGCGTCCACCGTATTCCAGGAGCCAGGCAGGCTGCCGTTTGCGAAGGGGTTGTGGATCATCGTTCCAAGTGTGCCACGCGCAACGGGCCGAGACGGTGCAGGAATTCATTCAACATGTCGCCGGGGCCAGGGGCTGAGCCAAGCAAAGAGTCGCGGATGGTCACGTCAAGTACATACGGCGGGAAAGGCCGATCCATTTCCCAGCCACCAGGAACCAAAGGAGTGCAGCGAGCAGCAGCAGCAGTATAAGGCGGTATGGCACGTGAAACCGCACAAAATGACGGACAAGCAGATTTGCCTGTTGCCGAGGCAGGGCGCATACGCGGCCAAGTTCAGTGCGGAGCACAACCGATTCCAAAGGATGAGGATGAGGGTGCGGCGCCGCCACGCCGTGAAGATATCGCCACCTCGGGCTGGGTGAGGCTCCAAGTCCTTTCGCGCGGGCTTCCAGAAGCACAGCGGAGCAACGGCGCAAGGCTTGATTTCGCTCCTCCTTTTTTCGGGCACATTCGGCTCGAAGTAGGCTGTCCCCAGGTGAGGCAATGTGTGCGTTGTATGCTGCTTCCGCGGCGATCTCGGCTTGTTCCATTTAGTGTGTCCACATCTTTTTGGAGCTGTCACGGCTGCCGCGCGGGATGTGGCGCTCAGCTGCTCGTAAGATGCCTCCGCGAGGATCCAACCATGTGGACGCGGTGGCAAGAAGGGTTTCACACAACGATGAAAAAGCAGGCCAACCCGCTTTGCGCAGGGCAAAGGTGGCTTTCTTCCGTCAAGGCAGCGTGTTTGCTAGTCGTGGAGTGCCATCGTCCACCTCTACCAAGTAAGATATTCAGCGGTGTTCCGAGTCCATGTAAGGGGCGAATGTCCAGTGGGAAATGCGTAGGGCGCAATACGCAGTCACGTCAGGGGACGAGGCATCACGATGTGTGATCCGTGTTGCCTGTGTCGGGTCATTTGCCAGCCCAAAATCCATATCGATTAGAACAGCGGCGAAATTATCGCCTCCAGTCGTCGATGGTGTATATGACTGTCCCAGAGTTCACGATTTAAATTCAGGTCACCCGCGATAATCTCTTCGAGCCCAAGCGACAAACGATATTGATAAATGCGGATTCTTGAACAGTTACTGTGGGAGGGTTGTAGAGATTCGCCACGCAAATGCTGCGACAGCCCGGCGGAAATACACGGACAGCAATGGTCTCCAGGAGTTCAGTGCCAGGGAGCGACAGGCGCTCGCACGGTAGAGAGTGGCGCACCAGAATGGCAACGCCACCACCGCGCCCAGTGAGGCCCGAAGGTAGTCATTATGGCCACATAATTTCGTCGCCACGCCACCACGGTTATTTAGTTCCTGCAGAAGAACGGTGTCAGGTGGACACTGCTCCAATCGCGCCGCAAATGCAATCTTTTTCACGGACGAGAGGCCTGCAATGTTAAGCCGCCAAATATTGATGAAGCCATCCTCCTCGGTGGCAGGGTTCTTGTGGACGTCACCGCCACGGGTGATATCAACGGCGTGACCGCAGCGAAACGGTCGTGCAGTTTTTTCCGACAGTCTGCGGGCGGACCGTCTCACCTCCCCGCACCGGGCATGGCGTGGAACCCTCTCGAGGGGTGGAGTCGTCTTAGTCTCCGTCGTGCTCGCGGCAACGCCCTGCTGCGGAGTTCCTATATGCAACCAAAGCCCAACACCGCGACAAGGTGCAACGTCATCGCTGGGGACCGGGAGAAGCCGCGTCAATGATAATATTTCAGATCCTAACCGAGTACAAAAGGGCACTCGAGTGGACAACAGAATCCGCATTTTGTCAGAAGACATTGGGGGATCTACGTGCTTCTGCGTCGCCCCTCTTACCTATAATGTTTGGTCGGAGATAAAGATGGAGTCCGGCCTGCGGTCCAGACGGATATTTTGCCTATTTTCGGCTTGCGAAAAAAAGGAAAAAGCGAACACAATTTTGGAGGAGACGCTCCATCCGGACGCGCGAAACTCCGGAAGAACGCCTGAGAGATCAGCGGTTTTTATTCCTGGGATGAAGCCCATGTCAGGAATTACTCTTATAAGAACAGTTTAAAAACTTGATCTTAGCTAAATAGTCGAGAAGATACACACAACAGCTCCCAATAAAAAAGTAACCTCGTAAAAATAGTTTCAAAACCAAATGGGGAGTTTTTGATCGCAATCTTGCTAAAGAATTCGTCCGTCCCCTCCTCGCTTAATTGTTCAACGCTCTATTCGGATTGGATACAAGTATTTACAGCTTACAAAGTGTTGCTTTTGCTCCTCGAACAATCGGGCGCATTTGCGTTGTCTTCTGGAAAACGAAAGCGGCATGTTTAGGGCGTGTCGGGCACATTCCGGGGTATCACGCGGTCCTCCCGCCAGGAATCTTCGCGCAAGGCGCAAAGCACCACGGTGCAGTTCCTGATCCCGGAACCGTTGCCGCAGCCCTTCTTTTCCTTCTTTTTGCCCCGCCCGATCCCGCCACAAAGGCAAGAGACAAAAAACAATTGGAATGTTTGTCCCTATTTTATGAATCGGCGACGGGAGCGGTTCCGGAAGCAGGGAAGCATCTAAACAATTTTTACTTGTTTTTGCTTTTGCCGTCCCGCCCGCCCGCTTTGTGATCCTCACACTGCGGCGACTTGCGGCTGGAAGAGCCCGAATTGTACCAATTCGCAATCGGTAAGCGCGAACCCGATCAGAATAGAGCGCGGCGTCTCACGACGGCAAGGGGCCGAAGAAATTCGTATACGCCTGATGCCGGCGTTGGGTTAAAACCGCCGTCTTCTTCGCCCATTTTTAACTCCACAACTTTGGATCGCCATCGGCACTTAAGGGATCCGGCCGCGGTGCGGGCAAAGATTGGTTATTATTATTATTGGGAAAACAAGTCCCAATGGGGTGTGTCTTTTATTCATTTGCTCTGTGCATGCTTTTTTTCTGTTATATGCTTCTGTTGAGCGCCCGAGCATTCCCCACTGTGGCTGAACCCACCGCCGTCCCCGACTGTCAGCCGACCATGCGGGGCGGAGTGGCGTGGCAACGCTCGTTTGCCGCGGCGTGCACATACACGCGCGCATGCTCCTTCTCTCCACGTCAACGCCCGCACACCACCACAGTCTGAAGGTGACGCTGTTGAAGGCACACAAGGAAGGAAACACGCCCACACAAGCAGTAATGTCTGGCTGGGCGCGTGCGCTGTCGCTCGCGGCCGTCCTGGTCGTCATGGCGTGCCTCGTCCCCGCGGCGACGGCGAGTCTGCATGCGGAGGGGACGCTGGCGTCGCAATTCGCGGAATTCAAGCAGAAGCACGGCAGGGTGTACGGGAGCGCCGCGGAGGAGGCGTTCCGCCTGAGCGTGTTCCGGGCGAACCTGTTTCTTGCGAGGCTGCACGCCGCGGCAAACCCACACGCGACCTTCGGCGTCACGCCCTTCTCGGACCTCACGCGCGAGGGGGCCCAGCCACCATGGGGCGCATGCCGACCCTCCTGGGCGTCAATTTCCGGAATTCCGTGGAATGGGCGCGCGCGTGGCGGCGCTCCCCGAGGAGGCAAACCAGCGCCCACCACGAATGGCACCGATTCCGCCCGCCGCGTGGGGGACTATGAGAGACACCCTGCGGGCGTTCTGCGTTGCACCGGCGCGGGCGAAGGCGATGTACGGCATCGGAGTGTGGTGCGGAGTGGCCTTCCCAGCGTCCCGCTCCACGCCGGATTCGCACATTACAGGTCGTGCGAGAATCGTTGCGGGAATACCGAAAGGCGGCCGAATGGAGGATGCCGTGTTGGACGTGAAGCCGCGGCCCCTCTCCGACACAGCGCGGTGGTGCTTTGCGGTCCGGTGCCTCCGCCGTCTGCCACCCACAGCGCCCCGCCAGAAAACCACATGACCCCGCGCCCTGCGCTTCGGTGAGAAGCTCGCGGCCCGCAGCCCGAGTGCGTTCCCACGCCTCTCGCGACGGCGCCGCCGCAGATGGTCCCGACGAATTCGAGCCCCGACCTTGGAACTGCCGGATCGCCCGCCGCTTCCGGCGCAAAGGCCCGTCGCCACGCCCAGAAGGAAAGCGCCACCAGGCGTGGGCAGACGGCTCTGCGGAACTCGGCGTCAAATCGGGAGCGGTGGCGGTGCGCTACCTGAAGGAAACGCCGCTCAGCATTGCCAGGGCCGGCGGCGGACCGACAAATCGCCGCCACGGAGCCGAACGCATCGCCCCACCTATTGGTCTAGGAATCTGTTGAGCACCACCCCGCTGACAAGCACTGCGCCGTACAGAGTGCCAATCTTCACGGCCCGCTCTCTTTGGCGCCCTGCTGAAGGGTCCTCCTACGGTGTCCGACCCGACGGCTCGGGGGCGAAACCCACCGCTCCACTCTAACAGTCGACCGGGGCCCACGCGCACGGACTCCGCCCTCGCTCGTGGGGAACAGGCCGCATTGGCCCGCCTCCGCGCCGGGGCTTCAGACAAACACGGACGACTGCTATGACTACTGCGACTCGCCGCTCCGGGCGGATGCCGTCGGTGCGGCCCGGACGCCCCACAACAGAAACGCAAAAAAACCCGCACGGAAATGCCTCCTCCTCCCGCTGGGAGCGCCACTCGTCACCGCAGCGAGGACTGGAGCGAGACACGGCACACCGATCGGGCTTCCGCCACAGACCGCGCGGCCCAGGCCGGAGCCGTCTCCCCGCAGTTCCCGCACGGCGTCGGGCAAACGAGAAGCCGGACTCAGGCTTCGTCTTCGATGCCTCCACGATCACCAACGCTCCGACAAGTAGGGAGCGTCCCCGGGGAAGATGACGCTCCGGCTGCGCCACCCGCGCTACAGCGCACGCCCCGTGGGTTCGAGGCCCCGACGAAAGCGAGGCTGGCATCCAACACGCGCGCGCAAACGAACACCCCCAGACAGCGCCGCAGCCGGCACCCGAGACCAAGGCGCCCCATCAAGGCCCTTGCTGCGACAAACGGGCGGGTAATGCCGGGGGTTGGCTCCTCACTTCCGGTTCGGGCGCCCGGACCGTGAGAAAGACGCGGCAACAAAAACACGGATAGGACACCCGCGCGCCGTGGGGGCCGCACCTCCAGAGGAGTAAGGCCAAATCCCGCGAAAACCTCGCCTCCGCGAAGGAGGGGCGCCGCCAAAGAGCAACGCGCCGTGTGCCCAAAACGCCGTCACGGAATCGGCGAAAGTGTGACGTTAATAAACGGATGTGGGCGCACCAGTGGCGTCAGACCGCCGAGGAAGCGCACGTCGCCCGGCGAAGACACCCCGACGGGATCACCACCTGTCGGACATCGCCGTCAAACATGCGGTTTTCGGCGCCACAGCGATGACGGACGAACCGGGGATCGCGAAAGCCAGCCAACGCGAACCGTGCCATGAGAAATGTCGGCGTCTACTCCACCGCCCGGCTCTGCAGGCGCCTGGGCAAAAACACGGCGTGAACATCGGAGAAGCGAGGAGGCCGTGTTGCACGAAAATGTTGGCGCGGTTTTTCCTCGGGATGGAAAGGCGCTGCCCAAACAGCACTACCACGCAGCGAGAAGGCACAAAGCCCCCAACAGCGGCGGCACAACGTCGGTGCTCCTCTCCGGTTCCCCTCCCTCCCTTTCCTTATTCGCGGGCTGCGTGGTTTACTGATTTGTTGGTTTTTGTTGGTTCTCGGGCGCGCGGCGCGTGCGTGCGTTTTGCGCCTTCCACCGCGGCTTTCTCTCCGGAGCCGAGGCCCTCCTCCACGTCCCCGCCTCGCGGGTGGACGCGCTCTGCGATGGTGGGCGTCGTGCGGGCCATCGCGCTCGTTTGAGAAAACAAGAGTAGAAAAAAATAAGAAAAAACGCCTCACGTCTTCACACGCGCTCTCTGCCCCTTTTCGTTTTCTTCTTAGTCTCGCACCAACAGCGACCATGGCGAAAAAGAAACTGCCGACGACGAGACGGAAGCTGAGGCGGGTTGCCGTGCTGCTGTTTCTCTTCATTGTGGCCACGATTGTTGTCCTTCAGGTCCGACACCGCCGCCGATGATGGCGCACCGGGGCCAAACAACCCTCGCCACCCGCGCGCGGCCGCAGCGGACGATGCAGCACTTGCTTACATCCCACGCCGTGTTGTGGGCACGTGGGGCCGGCGGGAATATCTGATTGTGCTGGGCATCCCCTCCCCGGACAACGAAGAAAGGCGAACACGACGCAACCTGCAGCGGACGACGTGCGGGAGGCGGGTCCGGTAGGGTAGGTCAAGCGATTTGGAATTGTTTGGTTTCGTTGCGTGCATTTCCTTTTTCCCATATTTGCCTTTCGAACGGTTGTTTTTGTGACTTTTGCTTTGGGGCGTGGTAGCTTGGAATGGGCAGGGGTCTTCCGCTTTTATTTTTCAGGAGGATCGAGCATGCGGACGTTATTTCATATACTTTTTTTTGGTGACCCAATTTTTGAAAGTGTGAGCTGCTTTGGTTTGACGCCGCCTTCTGAAAAAGAAGTTGGCAATCTTTTGACAGAGGCGGGGAGTTGACTTGGCTTTGTTTGTTTGTGGTATGTAACGCTTCTAAATTTTTGTATATGTTTGTTTGTTTATTTACTTTTTTTAATTTATATTATCGCACTTATTGCAAGAAAAAGTGTTATTTAGGACATAAGTATGTTGCAATTAACAACCGTTCGCTGCTTTAAGGGGCTTGACAGTTTAAAGGGGTTTGGTTCATTGTTTGGCGACGGAACTCGGTGCGATAATGCAGGAAGCTGTTCAGGGGGTAGAGGAGGGGTTTCTTTTTTAAATAGTGGATTTGGTTTTGGATCGTTTTCAAATGGTTTACCCACGAAAATTTCGAGCGGGTTTTCGTCTGGTTCTCAGGGGTTTGGCTCATTTGGAGGTGGACGTGGTTCCGAGGGAGGAAATTGGAGTGGCCCATTCGGTGGCCCATTAGGTGGACTGTTTGAAAAGGCCCTGGAGTGGTGTAGCGAGGCTCATGCACATGACATTGCGCGACGTCAAGGGATTGATATCCGAGAAATCCGTTTTGAAAAGACACCAGAAGGTGGCGTAAAAGTTTTTGTGGATGCACCACAGGCAACTCCAAAACAAATTGAACAGCTCGGAGAGCAAGTGATGGTGGAATGCCCAGTGGCTCGTTTTAGGAAAACTCATTTGACGTCGCCTCAGCAGACAGTTCAATGGCTCCGTCTTCCTGATCGTTACGACCGCTAGTTAGTGTGACTGTAGAGGACCATGAGGGTGCCTCAAAAATGGGAAATACCAGTCGCATGACGATTGGACCTCTTGCGTTGTTCTTTTTTTTGAAAGTGAAAGTTCACGAAACGGGAAAAAAGGACTTTTTTAGTTGGATGGGTGGGAAATATATATGAATATTTATATTGTTTTTGGTTTTCTGAACGTATATATATATACTGAATGTTATTTTTTACATTTTTTTTTTCTTTTTTTAGTAAAATGCGTCGGACCTTTCTTTCATTTAACAAGGACGGGAGAGCTGAGGAAAGACTAAATGGATTTCTTTCAGTGGCTCAGGAGTCGAAGACAAACTTCATGACAAGACGCCAAGGCTTGTGTATGCGAGAGGAGAAGCTTTTTCTTGTCGATGAGGATTTACTTCTTAACCACCTCTTGGCTGGAACCTCTCTGAAATATGACGCGGAAGCCGTTACTCTGCAGGGTGCTTTTGATGAGAGGGTAGAAGTGGATAATGTGGTTCGAATTTCCCTTGAATTACTGCGAGACGATTTTGGCGAGCGACAAAAGAAGGATCCAAACTACGTTGATTGGGATTCAAAGTTGCCTGCTTTTCGTGGAGATTAACCCCGAGAGCAAATACAGCTTTTTTTTCTTGGAAATTTTCTTTTACATATTTACCATTTCGCTCGGTTTTGCAAGGTTGTTTTGATTATCCTTGCGATGATTCCGCCAATTCTTTTTTTTTCTTTTTCATTTTAATTTATAGCAAAGTGCAAGATTTCTAACGATATAATGCCCACAATCCGTTACAAGAACAGAGATGAGCTCATCGTTGGTATTATTGGGGATGAAGACACAGTCACCGGTTTTCTTTTGGCGGGTACCGGAGATAATCGAGCGACTTTGAACCAGATGAGTGGAGATAAAAAGAACGTTGAACAACCAAACTACATAGTTGTGAATCCAAACACACCACTGGTTGATATCGAGACAGCATTTACCAATATGTGTGCAAATGATGCAGTTGGTGTTATTGTGATATGTCAGCACATAGCGAATGACATTCGTCATTTGATTGAAGAACAAAAAGAACCTATTCCTTGCATTCTTGAGATTCCGAGCAAAGGGGGTCTCTACGACGCTGAGAGGGACTTCGTTTTGGAGAAAATCACCAGAGCTCTTGGTATACGTTAAAGTAGTTTAAAACGAGAACAACTTCAAGACACACGTTGAGGGATTATTTGAACTTTTTTCTTTTGCATTTCCACAAACCTATACGTGCATACTTACACATTGCTCATTTTGTAGATACCCTGATACTAATTCCTTCCCCCCCCCCCGCAGTGATCTGACAGAAGGGAAGCTCTTCTTTTTTTTTATTGTATTCTTTTTGACGAAAAAAGCTGGTAAAAAACAACAACAACAAAAACAAAGAAAAACAAGAGTATATAATAGTTGCTTTTCAAATTTAAAAGCAGTATACAGACACAGTAAATTGAGTTAAAAGGAAGATCGAGAGACAAATGAAAGATCAATACCTGAAGGATTTGACAGTTCACTTGAACGAAAGCAATGCGGCGCCCGCGAATACCAGCATGGCTGTCGCATCTTTCAATATGCCACACGAAATAACAAGAAGGATGAGGCCACTTGGTGTTGATACTGACACAAGCTTGAGTTCGTGCCCCTCCTGGCGTCGTCTTCAAGAATTATACGAGATTCACGGAAGCGAGAGCATTTTGAAGAATTTTGACGAATGTAAGGATCGTTTCCAACGATACTCGCTTGAGGTGGATTTGAGAAGCAGTGACAAAAACTTTGTTTTTTTGGATTACTCAAAGACACACATAAATGATGAAATAAAAGACGTTCTTTTTAAGTTGGTTGAAGAGAGAGGTATTCGCGCGTTTATGCGGGCATTGTTTGCTGGAGAAAAGGTTAATACGGCCGAAAATCGTTCAGTGCTTCATATTGCTTTGCGAAATCGAAGCAATCGTCCCATTTTTGTGGATGGACATGACGTTATGCCCATGGTAAACAAGGTACTTGAACAAATGAAGAAAATATCAGAAAAGGTCAGGAGAGGTGAGTGGAAAGGTCAGTCAGGAAAGCCTATCCGCCATGTTGTGAATATTGGGATTGGAGGCAGTGATCTCGGTCCCATGATGGCATGTGAAGCCTTGAAACCTTTTTCAGATCGGAGAATATCCATGCATTTTGTTTCTAATATTGATGGAACACACTTGTCTGAAGTCTTGAAATTGGTCGACTTGGAATCAACTCTTTTTATAATTGCCAGCAAAACATTCACTACACAAGAAACCATTACGAATGCTTTGTCCGCACGGAGTGAGTTTTTGAAGTTTTTAAGTTCTCGAGGCATTCCAGAAGCTGGTGCTGTTGCAAAGCACTTTGTTGCACTTTCAACAAATGCGGAAAAAGTCAAAGAATTTGGTATTGATGAAGCGAATATGTTCCAATTTTGGGACTGGGTCGGTGGCCGATACTCATTGTGGTCCGCCATTGGTTTATCTGTCATGATTTCAATTGGGTACGACAATTTTGTGGAGTTCTTAACTGGTGCACACATCATGGATGAACACTTTATCAATGCACCCACGGAAAACAATCTCCCTATTATTTTGGCTTTGGTTGGTATTTGGTACAATAACTTCTTTGGAAGTGAAACCCAAGCCATCCTACCATATGATCAATACTTATGGAGGTTGCCAGCGTACCTTCAGCAGCTTGACATGGAAAGCAATGGAAAGGGTGCCACCAAAAACGGCCGAATGGTGTCAACGCACACTGGTCCTATTATTTTTGGGGAAGCTGGCACCAACGGCCAACATGCTTTTTATCAACTTATTCATCAAGGGACAAAGTTAATTCCGTGCGACTTCATCGGCGCGATTCAAACTCAAAATTATATTGGAGAACATCACCGAATTTTGATGAGCAACTTTTTTGCTCAGACAGAGGCACTGATGATTGGTAAGACCCCTGAGGAGGTTAAAAGGGAACTGGAATCCGCGGGAGGAAAGTCTGAGGATGAGATTCAATTGTTGATACCACAAAAAACCTTCACTGGGGGACGTCCAAGCAACTCCTTGTTGGTAAAGGCTCTCACTCCACGGGCATTGGGTGCCATTATTGCCATGTATGAGCACAAAGTTCTTGTCCAAGGAGCTATTTGGGGGATTAACAGCTATGATCAATGGGGTGTGGAACTGGGGAAGTTACTTGCCAAGTCCATTCTTCCACAACTTCAGCCTGGTCAAAAGGTTACAAACCATGATTCTTCGACAAATGGCCTCATTAAGCTATTCAACGAACGCTCTCACTTGTAAAGAGAATTTCTTTTTGAATTTACCAAAAAAAGGGAGAGGAGGGGAATATGTATCAATCCGGAAATACTAAGGGGAAAAAGACGGGATCTTGGGAAGGAGCAAAAGAGGATGATTTTGTGTGCATTTCTTTTTCCTTTTTTTTTTTTTTTGGGGGGGGGGGGAAAGGCTTTTTGGGTATATATATATAAAAAGAAAGCGGTCCATTAATCATGACCAAGATGGTCGTTGCTTTTTTTGCTTGTTTGTTTCCGTACGCATGAGAATTGAAACCTCTATGTTCTGGTTGTTGTTTTTTTGCGCATTTTCTTTGATTTCGAATAAAAAAAAAAAAAAAGGGTTTTGGGAAGGCAATTAATGCTGAAAGTATTTGATGGAAAAGGTACAACTAATACGGTTGTTACAAAAAGTGAGGATTGGAGCTTATCGGCGCCATATAGGTCTCCCTTTGGTGGTTACAACCATTACCCTACCATGCTATTTAAGCGTCATGCATCGCCTGTGCCTTCAAACACTGAGGAAAGCTATTTGAAAAACTCAACTTCACAGGGAACCAATGTAGGACAAGATAATGGGGATGTACGAAGTTCTTCTCGAGCGAGGCCCCGCGTGAAGGGTTATCGGGATAATGTTCCCATGGTCACTCCTTTGATGGACCGTTACAAACGAAGTGAACCAATCCACAATAAAAAGGCTGTCGAACGAGATGTGAACGAGGGCCAGAATCACTCAGGTTCTAAGACTCTAACATCGTCCAATTCTTTAAAAGCTTCTTCGAAGATTTATATAATGCCGTCTACAGGCAATGTAAATGCCCAAGGGAAACGAAGCGTTTCCTCAAGTGAGGCGCCCAATGAGGTTATAGATTCTAGGCGGTGTCGAGGACAACAGTGCCGGCGGATGACTACATCATGTCCTCCAGTACTGGTTCGAGATGGTGCATCCAACGGACAGAAGTCTATGCATATAAAGGGGAATGGGGACGCAAGTACACCTTCAACGTGTTATGATACGCACTGTATTCATGGTCGTCAGGCGATACTAGATTATGTTGATTTACAACGTAATTTGCGTGTGTGCCACGCCACTGTCCGTGATCAGGATAGAGAATTGAACGAACTGCGATCGCAGCTCCATTTGCTTCATACCGAAAAGGTAGAGTTGGAATCGCGTTTTCAGATAGAGTTACAGGGGTTAGAAAGTCGATACGCTGAGAGTCTTGGAAAAGAACGAGAGGAGCAAATGGAATGGCAGAAGCGTATTTTATCAGAACAATTAGCGAATTATGAAAGAGAAAGAGAAGAACTAGAACAATTAAGAATGGAATTGGAGCAAGAACGTTTGAATCATGACCGTACAAGAAGCGAATTGGACGCAGCACAGGGTATGTGCATGGCTCTGAAACAACAACTGGAGAATCTTAAAAAAGCTTCGAATGCATCATTTTCACCGTCAGGAAAAAAAGATTCGCCTGCGGGAAAATATAGAGAAGACTTTTTGCTGGATACACAATCGCCGACATCCGTTTTTATGACTCCAACGCCACGTCGACAGCCACCACCTGTACCTCAGTTAAAAGAAGGTGAGGAATACACATCTGGGATTAATGTTTCGAAATTTTCTCTTGGTCGTGAAAAATCCAAGTCATTGCGTCCGTTTCGTGACGATTCGCCAACGGATAAGGGTTTTGTTGAAAACGTGACCGCAAACTCAACCATTAATGTTAGCGATCCATCCGTTGCTTTCTCGATGATTCCTGAGTTTGATCCTGATGATGGCCATGTGTTTTGGATGAATAAAGAGAAGCAAGATAATTCTGCAAAAAGAGTAATGGAAGGAAATAAAGAGGAGTTTGACGGGGAGACACAACGTGAAACAGAGGAATGGACGGAGGGTGATGGAGGACCCTCAAGTTGTGAAACCCGAAACACCAACCTTCCCACTGTAGTTGCACAAAAAACGGAAAGTTTGGCGAATGATGCTTCATCATATGGTCGCTCCCTTACAAAGGCACTTTCTGATGCGGCTTTTACCGTACAGCTTCATCCAGCTTATCAATTCGAAGAGATCGCGGGGCAGGAGTCACTTCTCTGCAAAGAACTCTTGCGTATTCTTCTTGATAAAGAGAAGCAAATTGCTGAACTAACTTCAGAGCGCATGGGGCTCCTAGGGGAGACGAAATTCACTTCCCTGTCGGATCCTATTCCTTATTTGACGCAAATGGAGGAAGTGGAACAAATAGCCCCTTCAAATTTGGCTGTTTGAGTCAGTGTGGTAAACACGAAAAGTAAAAAAAAATTGGTTTCTTTTCTTTTGAGTTTCCGTGTTGTCTACAGTAGAGCCAGTTGTTTTCATTATTATTATTATTAATTACTATTATTTGCTATGTCTCGGAAGTAATTAGAGAAGGTGTGTGTGTGTGCAGAGGGGGCACCTTGATTCTCTTCGCCAGTGCGACACCGAAATTTTTTTATTATATTCTTTGCATTTTTTTTTTGTTTTGTTCTCACCTTAGTTTTTTCTTTTCTTTTTTCTAACTCAACTTTCTTTTCTTCTTGTCTTTTTCGGCGGGTAACTGGTGATCCACTAGGTGATTGGCAACGGAATAACCAAAGAAGAAAGTGACAGAGAAGAGTTATGAAGGCTTTGCAGAAGAAGATGGGAGCTCGCCCCGCCGTGAACGACTTAGATTTGACGGGTTTTGAGATCCAGCCTTTAAATGTCATTGTCGGAACGGCAGTGTTTGTCCTCAGCGTCATTCTGCTTCACTTCTACGGTAAGCTGGGCGGCGCAAAGCCATAAAAGTGATGGAACGAGACGGCATGAACACTGAGATTATGTATCAAGATCCTCAAGATGGACAGAGATTTAGTAATAGTGCTAGTAGGAGGTTTGTGTGTGTGTAACTGTGTGATGTGGAGTTCTGAATGAGATAGACCTTTTGTGCATGGGTGAATGGTGGAAAAAGTGGTCGTGACTGTAATGTGGTTGCGTGCCCTTTTTTTTTTTTTTTCCTCCTATTTACTTTTTTGTCTTCTCACTGCAGAAGCTCTTACTCTTTCTTTTTTTTTTTCTTTTTTCCTTTATATACCTTTTGTTCTGCACCGAATGGAAGAAAGAAAAGGGTGCAAAGAAATAATTTATAACACTCATACACTGTACGGAAATATATCCGCACCTGCACCGAGACCGACACTCACGCACGCGTGCATTTTCTTGTTTGTACAAAAAAAAAAACAAAAAAAAAAAGGAGGAAAACCGAGTGCTCGGGAGAAGCTTTTTTTTTTTTTTTTTTGTGTGTGTGTTTGTGTGTAAAATGGGCGAGTAGATAAGAAGAAAAGTAGAGGAATTGGTAAGAAAAACAACAACAAAAAAGGAGAAGAAATGAAGTAAAGATTAATAAAATTGGATTCTAAGCGGCTCCATTCCCATCTATCCATTTGAAGGAAATTGGTATGTATGTATGTACGTATGTATGTATGTATGTATGTATGTATAAATTATTCATTTGTTTTGCTCTGTAACAAAGCACCGGCTGAATTGGATGGGAAACGTTGCACATACTTACATACATATATATATATATATGTATACATTTTTGCGTTAATGGCGGTTTACCCATTGTGTTTTCATACAACGCTTCTTTTTGTTAATCGGAAATTCTTTTGATACTACTTTCCCTTATTTTTTTTTCATTCTTTTACACACAATCACAACACACACACACACACACACACGCACACAGAGGAAAAAAAAAAAATTAATAGGGAGTGTGCAGAAGTAGTTGTATAGCGTCGCAAAACAATCGTACTTTTTTTAATTTTTGTTTCTCTCTGTGTATGGTGGCGGAAAACGCTTCAATTAAGCAGCAATATACTGAAATATCTTACGAGTGAAGAATAAAGTGGCCTTGCTTGCTTTTCGGGGAGGTGAGAAAGAAAAACAAAACAAGAAAAACAACAATAAAAAGGAACCAAAAAAGAAAAAAAAAGAAGAAAAGGGAGGGCACAAAAGAAGGAAGTAATAATAATAATAAGATTCCTTTTATGCTCAGCAACTCTTCGTGGCAATTTATTTTTGCGACCTTCAATACCATTGATAATTTAAAGAGGCAAAATGACATCGACTCAAGATGACTCCTTTACTGGAGTTATAGAGAGGCATACGGAGCCAAAAAGGCGTAGACGTTCGCGGAAGTCCGCATTTGCTAGTGCGGAGCTTCACGAACGCTTTGAAAAACACGTGGCGAAAGCACAAAACCTATTTCTTGGGAATGATAAGGATGGAGCCGAACGAGAGGCAACACTGGCGCTGCGCATCCATCCCACCGATCATCTATTTGCACTTCTTGCGGTTATCGCCGACTCCAAAGGCCAACGGGATCGAGCAAGTGATTTTCGACTATTGCAGGCGTTTTTGGCGAACGATACTGTCTTGTGGGAAGAGCTTTTACATGAGTTCCTGCAGGAGGAGTTGTATTATAAATCTGCCGTGTGTTTACAACGGCTTTCAGCACTAGAGACGAAAGACAAAATTCGATACCGCACGCTGCAGCTACAATTGGCTGATCTTTACATTGGTCTTGGGGAATTTAAACGGGCAGCTAACATTTTAGTCCCGTTATGGAATGGAAGCCGTTGCCGCGATTTTGAAGTGTTTTCATTATTGTCTTCCTTGTTTTTTCAACTGGGCCGGTGGAATTCCCTGCACCGTTTGATTGAATCCAGCCTGAAAAATACTTTTCGTCCAAATATGGTCGTGAATGCAGAGGAAACGAGGTTAGGATTCTCTGGTGCTGCCTCCGATACAGCCAAAATGTCTACAGACGGAGGCGGCGAGGTCCCTCCCCCTGTCAAGCGAAGAATCTCAAAACGGGTTCGTTTTTTTGGCGTTGACGATAACAATGATACCAATAATGATGGAAATTTTACAGGTTCCGTTGAAACGGAGAAGGTGAGGGGGGATGAGGAGCAACACCGACAAGAAAGGCAGCAGAGAATAGAGACGGATGCTGCACCTTTTTTTGTTCCCACAACGCCTCTGCCACCGACTGAGGACGAGGATGAAGACAAAGACTTTGACTTTTCAAACCTTACCAGTAGTGGAGATGGCGTTCCTTCCAAAACTGCGGGTTCGATGCCATCGACGGTGGTCAACTCGCTCTATGGAGACACCATTGAGCTTCGGACCCCGGCGTCAAAGAGGAACTTTCTTACACTTGTCAATGTACATGCGGAACTTCTCAATGAGGAGGGGAAGTTTTTTGATACCATACGCCTTTTAGAATTCACCGCCGGTTGTCTACAAGTTCCTTTACTAGAATTGCCTCCAGACCTCCTTGTTCGCCTTGGAATTGCGTATGCATTCTTGGGGGGTCTAGAACAGCAGTGTCGTGAGGTGTTCCAGCACCTCATTGATACTTGCTCCATGGCAGAATATGGTGATGTTTTGTACGATGCCGCCAATGCATTGCAACGGGTGGGTTTGCACGCGGAGGCCCGCATGCTTTTTCAAACATTACGCCGCTACCATGAATTTTTTCTATCAAGGTTTACTGGCATAGCTGATGCTGATAATGATAATGGTGATAATACCGATAATAATAATAACAATAATGTCAGTAAGGGAGAGAGGAAAATGTTGGACGATGAGGAGGCGGCTGAGGTCAAAACCGTCTTTGCGGCCACTCTCTTCGCAGAAGGTCAGTGTGAAGCCTCTTTGGGGAACTCAGAGGCGGCATACAACGCCTTTTGCCGCGTATTGGAAATAGACCCAAGACATCTGCAGGCTCGTCTTGCTCTTGGCCGCATGTATATTTATGAGATGAAAGATGCAGATCGTGCCGTGATGGTTATCACACCTCGTGAAGACGAGCAACCAATTGAACGAATTCAACTCGGTGCGGAACTTGTGCGTATTTTTGCTCGGGTTGAAAAATATGTCGAGGCCATTGCGCTGGGGGTTTCCATCTTTGAGCTTATCCTCTCCGGTGAGGAAGACGGCGATACAGATTCGGTCGCGCCGGGATCTTCGCGACGCACGACAACAACACTATTTATGCCTACTCTTTCAAGGGCTAGTTCTGCTATCATCCCTCCATCGGCCATCTCCGATATTGTGAATGGACCGTGCCTGGGGACTGCAACATCTTCCGCGGGACGACTCTCACATACCCTTGCAACGTCCATCAAAGCGTCTAGCGCGGTATTTCGCACTAACTTGGCTAAACGTGGCAATGCGCCACTGACAACCTCCTTCTATGGCGCCTCCGCAGCGGCGTCAACGGCGGCCGGTTGGTTTTGTTTTGATGAGGAGCGTTCGAAAGACAGTTCAACAATCTTCCGTTTTAATCGCACGAAAAAGGGGCTGAAGCGAGCTCGCTTGGAGAGCGGAAAGGAGAATACACATTACACAAATGACAATGACAATAATGACTTGGAGGGAACAAAAAATAATATAGAAGAAGAAGAGCAAATAAGAGAAGCAAGACGACGTCAACGCGTTGGAGAGGTTACACGCCGCTGTGCAGACTCATTCTGGAAGGACGAGAAGGATGACAATGATAGCGGTGGAGATGAAAGCAATAACGTTATTAATAACGAGAACGTGCACCTTGGGAAAATGGGTGATGCGGAGAAGTTACGTCGTGGAGAAGTGAGACAAATAAAGGAAGAATTTTGCGAAGAACGGGACTTGGAGGAATTGGAGGAGGAAGCGATGTTGAATGATAACGATGAGGGTGATGCTACAACGCAGTATGAACTTCCATCTTTGGAGGAGGTAAGCAAGCAGTTTAGTGATCCAGTAATGCAACAGTTGTTTATGAAGGCGTCTAGCAATGACACAGCGATTGCACCACGGAATCCATGGGAAAAAAACGTTGCAATTCCTTCCCCGATAAATGCTGCTGCTGCTGCTGCTAGTGGTGGTGATTTGGGTGTCGGTCAATTTTCTTCTTCCATGTTACGCGTCACGTTCCGCGACGCCCTGGGAGTGCTTGGGCGAGTCGGTTTTGTGGAGCTTGCCGTTACCGTGATCAGCTGTTATACTGCCATTGGGAAGTTTACTGAGGCGAAAGAATTTGCATTTCTTGTGCTAACGCGGTGCCCGCGAAAGATGATGTTTCGACATTTTGGTGTTCTCGAGCGACCGCTGCGACTGGCTGTACTGCGCGCAGCTCTGGCATCAAAGGAGAGCGAAGATGCGTACCGTGTAGGAGTCCGCCTGTTACAAGAGCAGTGTAGTGAGGAGGAAAGGAACCAGGTAGTAGAACTATTATATGGATTGCTGAACCGCGTGGAAAATGGAAGCGCAATTCTGCTTCGTCTTGTTGCGGACCGTAATCAGGCTGGCCCAGAGACGCTTGTTCTACTTGGAAATCGTTATTTCCTTCGCCGTTCCTTTGTCCGCGCCCTTAACTTGTACCTCGCAGCCTTGCAGAAGCGTCCTAATGATATCCTTCTCTGCTTTCTTGTTGGTTTGTCATATATGCTTATTAGCCATCAAAAAAGAATCCGAGCGCGTGAGGCTTGCGTGATTGCTGGATGGCATTATCTTTCCCTATACCAGGAGCTGGTACGTGCTGTTGACATTGGGCGGATGGGTGAGGCGGTATACAACTGTGCTCGGGCACTACAATATCTCGGTTTGCATCACCTTGCTGTGCCACTGTATGAACAGGTGGCATATGAGTTCAAAGTTCCTGAACAATGTACCTTGGCATTGCAGCGGGCTGCGAGGTTTAATATGTACTTTACCTACCAGTGGCGCACAGGAAACACGGCACTCGCAATGGCTGCGTT